GCGACCGTTCTCCCTCAGAGAAAAATCCAATTCCCAGTGAAACGTCCGCTTACCACTCTATGAAATCTCATCTCAACCATCTTCATCACCTCCTTCTTTTCACTTTTCATCCACTCCGTTTGCTCTTTCCCCAAGTAGCGCGATTACCCCCGCTCTCATAACTAGAGAGACTAGAAACGATCGCGCGAAAGTCGCGTTAATTAGCTCTCGACGGGGGAGGAAAATGTAATCGTCCAACCCATTTTTATCGTCTCTCATACTTAACCCCTCCCCCACCCCCTCGAGGCTATTGCCATCAACCTTTCGCCTTTTTATGAAGAAGAATCCAAAAGTCTGTCGGTAAGAGCCCTCATCTCCGGTAACTTTGGGGAGTGTCGTCCAGAGGTCAGCACCAGTTCGAATATTTCCTGTCGATTTATTTCACCTATTGCTGAAGGGTGGACGAGCGCCCGGGGCTGGGGATTAATCACACCCTCGTCCACCGACTGTCTCTCGTATTGTTTTTTGTCCCCTCGACCTTGTTGACCCTGGGATCCGATAAGTGATCACAAACGTCAATTTGCAGGTTTTCGGAAAAGAACGAAAAGTGGTAAAAACACTTACGGAGTTTTTTATTTTCACAGATTTGATTTTCGGTTTTTTTTAGAGGTGGAATTTTTTTTTGTTAGGGCCATGCATTCAGAGAGGCAATGCATTTCAAACGAGTGGAAATCTGTATTAAAAATTCTTTTCATGGGATAATTGAATTAAAATTTACAATTTGCAATGATTTTCTCATCAAATAATGAATTTTCAATGTGAAAATCCCTTGACATTTCAGTGAATCTGTCACTTTAATTGATGAAACCTTCCAAAAAGTGCATGGAAAACTTCGCAGGGAAAGAAACGTTTTGATTTTCCGGGGCATGTCTGATCATCAGTGATTTTTACCACTGAAATCTGGTTATCGATTCCTACAAATTAGACATGAGTCCCCGGAAATCCGTGATAGTAGTCTGACAATTAGTGACAATGTTAACTGAAAATTAGTGAGAAAGTCACAAAATTTGAAAATTTTCCACTCACTTAATTTCACAATTGCAAATTTCTAATAATTGGGGATATATTCCTGAAAATCAGTGACATGTCTCTGAAAATCTAAACTCCTTTTTCTCCGTGTTCAGTCAAAAATTTGTAAAACTGTACACTCTGCATTCCTTCTCCTCCCTACCCAAACAGTGCTCCCAGTTTCACTTAATGACATCTTTATTCAGATCATGGAAACATTACTTGAAATGGTAAAAACTGTTATTTCGATGTGAATAAAATGGCAAATAAAAATCAAGTAAAAATTTGAATAAACCCATTCATTTAATTCCAGGAAAATTGATTAAATTTTACTAAAAAATTCATCCGAAAATGTCTCTCCACTGAGCCCCAAGAGAATGTAAATCTGTCTCATGCAGTTATCAATACCGTACAAACCACAAATAATAACTTCCAAGAAGACTCGCTTCTCTCGTAGCCCAAGGGTGTCTCCTCCAAAGAGATGAGAACAGAAGAAAATTCCCTTCAAACATTGTCCCTCGGGTCACATGTTCGTCGCCCTTGTCAACATTGTCTCAACCTCTAAAAGAGTGACGAAACACCCAAAACAAGAGCGCAAAAACTAAAAAAATTCATTTTATTCGAATTCAATTAATGCAACTGCACCGGCCATGCATCATTCCTGGCTTTTGCCACCAATTTTTGTTCGCCTCTCCACCAATAAACTATTTACCATATTCACAAATCGTTCTTCCCCAGTCTATTGACTCAATTATGGCAAAAAACATCCCTACAGATTAAAGCGTCACGAACTAGGCGAATGGAGTTATTTTTTTTGTTTAAATTTTTTTGTCCCATGCAAACATCGAGTCTGGGCAACGTTCCGTAAAATGTATATTTGATTCTGCATGACAATACACCATATTCATCGTCAATCATGGAGCGAGAATTTTCACGATGAAAAATTTTCTATTTGAAATTCGACAAATAATTCGGAACGTTGATCTCCCGCTGGACAATCCACTATGATCGATGCAGGGTCACTCCAGAGGCAGTCAGTGATATTTTTTTCCGTTCTGTTTTTTCACTGTCAGAACGTTTATTCGGGGATGGCTTTTACCACTCTCAGGATACTGCGTAGTATCCAATGGACAAATACACTGAGAAAAACAAAGTTTTTTGAAAAGTAAGTCTTTACTTATATCAAGAAACTCGTGGCTTGACCATTTTCAAGAGCAAATGTCTTCCACTAAAACGAAAAAAACTTTCGTCGAGAAATTTTGTACTTTTCCGAAAGACGAGGAGAATTTCTTGATGAGAAAAAAGCGATTTCTCAAACCAAGTAAAATTGAATTAATTCGTTTAATAGTTTTTTGGCATCAATTCTAAAATATTTTAATGCAAAAAATACTTGAATTGATTTGAGAACTTGTTTTCTTGATATGAAACAATAGCTCTTATCTTGCGGACAAGTATAAATTTCTTGGCGAAAAATTTTTTTTTCTTAGTTTGAGAAGATTTTTTTTTCTTATTGTGCGCTTGGCAATTTTCAAGTCATGAATTTCTTGATACGTACGTCTCAAAAAACTCTTGTTTTCTCAGTGTAGTAAGAGAAGAATATTTCCAAGTTAAGACTGTCTATGACGCCAAAACTGGTAATAATAATTTGTTTTAACATGGATTTCATAGATATGATCATGCACTATTGAATAATTTTGCTGAAAGTCTCCGTACTTTTTTTGGAAATTTTTATTACATTATAGTTTCACTGATACCTCAAGTCCTTTTATCTTTCAAAATTCAAACTGTCATGAAAACACAATTTTAGTTCCATTAATTCTGGAAAATTACTATTAGAAATCGGGAAAATTCGGTAAATCTTTTTTTGAATTGTCAATGGATTAAAATTTCAAGTAGTTTGGGAAATCTTTCTCCTCCTGCTGTTCAAAATGGAAAATTTCCTTGAATTTCGAATGAAATCTTAAATCTCATGATTTTTTTTTCTGAATTGAATTCAATGTGACTCTCCTGAAAATTACCAGGCAACTGTCCATTAACGTGAAATGTTTTTAACGAAATCGTTGAATATCGAAATTTCACTGAAAATTAAATGAAACTAAAATGAATTTTCGACCAATTTAAAATTTAAAAATATATGGACTTGAATTTTCCTCATTAATTCCGATTTTCATGGAACAATTCAACTGAAACTGACAGTTTACTTTGATCTTGTGATCGCATTAGCGATATTCAATTGTGAAACCGCTTAAAATTTAGCCAAAAAATTTCAACAGTACAAATTATTGATTTCCTTTCAATGTGTCATGGAATTCTCATCAATTTTAATTTAACCAAATGCTCCCCCCGTGACACGCGATTCCCAACAATTTATTCCCTTTTAGAATCAATTCCCAAATGATGAATAATCGAGAGATAGAGAAATGGTTCATTTAAAAAAAAAAATGGGTTTATTCAAATGACTCATAACAAAGCTGTTATTCAAGCTTGAACATGATTTCTTGCATTTTCATTTGCTCCAAATAAATAGTTTTTCAAGTACGAACAAATGTTTCCTCGATTCAAATAAAAACTTTATGCATTAAAGATGATATAATTATTCCGACCGTAAAGATCACTAATCGATTGAGTTGTAATAATGTCCCATTTGAAGTAAACAAATGATTCGTTTCACCTAATTAAACTACTTCCATTGAAATAAGCATACACTGTTAGAAATTTTTTGAAATTTCATGGCAAATCTGGTAGTAGGTGACATTGAATCCGATTTAGGGGGAAAATGGTGTCAAAATTTCCAAGTTTTACCTAGAATTCAAGGAAATTCATGAGTTTTCAGTGGAAGTGAGACGGAAATCTCACAGCTTGATTGAATTTTCAATGAAACATGAATAGTCAGAAACAAAATGATATGAATTTTAAATTTTTCCTTGAATTTTCCAGATTTTGCCGAATTCTCACAGAATAATTGAACTGAAAAATCAAGTATTCTATTGATTTTCTGATAATTCAAACTAGAAATCTATGAAGTATTTGATTTGTCAATCCCGAGATTTCCTGAAGTTTCAGTGAAAATTAAACGTGATAAAAATTTCCGGAATTCGATGCGGAAAATTCAGACGAAAATTTTCAACAGTGAATGACTTGATCAATCGTCCACAAAAATATGATTAAAATGAATAAAAAAATTTCAAATAGTCTCATTTGCCTCGACCACGTGATTCCTCCACCCGAAAAAAACAAGGGAAACCCATTACCCGCACAACCCTGAATTTCCATAAATCCGTAAATGCTTTTCTCGCACTTCATTCGATAAGGTCAGAGTTCATCACAGCCCTGGCAGTTGCCCGCCAGTTTTCACCGCAGAATTTCCTCCAAAGCGCGGACGTAATTAGCCGATCTAACGCGATTCCACGGAGCCAACTTCACCCCCACCCCTTCTGCCTCTTGACTCGTCTCCCTCTCGCCCCACCCCGCCTGACAAAATGTACCACCACGTTGCTCTCAGTGCAGCCCTACGTGACGACGAGCCTTCGCCAATTCTATGAATAGTCGCTTGCTCCAACAATTATTTCCCAAACTAAATTCCACCGACGTAACCGTAATTACCGAGTCAAGCTTGAGCTTAAGGTCTCATCCCTCTCGCTCGTCCTGTGCTTTTCAACCGGTCAAAATGCCGGGAGAGAGGGAGAGGCCACCTCTTCACTCACCAGCCCGCTGTGCACCCCTCGTTCCTAACGCTCAATATCACGAGCAATGTTGCCTCTAATCAGATTCACGGAGGGCAGAGCTTTCGTGCCCGATTGCGAATCCCATTCTCTACCTCCGGCTATCTCTACCCCCGTTCACGCTGTGTCTAGTCATCCAATCCCCACCCATGGACAGACTAGTGGAGGGGAGTGATAAAACATTGAAGAAGAACGGTTCAACCACTAATTGTCCTACGATCACCTGTCACTTGGCAGCCGACGGTTCTCGGGCTTGTTTTGGATTTACCCGTGTTTTTGGTGGTGATTTTGGAGTTGTGAGAGTCATTCATGGAGATGTGAGTTCAGTTGTTGGTGATGTGGGTGAGAATATTTTTGCTGGGTTTCTTATGAAATTATTTGCAAATGGATGTTTGGCACACACCGTGATGTAAAATGGCAGTTTACACAGGCTCCTTGTTTTATAATCGCCGGGTGAAGTAGCGCAGGGAGAGAAATTCTGCAGAAAAATTTTACACGGAGGAAAAAGGGGAGAACACTGCTAAACGAGTCAAGTAATAGTGGAGCGGAATCCATTTCGAAGTGTTTCTCATTTTTCAATTTTTTCTAGCTTGCGGATTGCGACTCGTCTGTGGTGCTTAGCACATGAATTTTTGTAGAACATTTTTCGCCGTGTAGAAATTTTTCTGTAACGGAGAACAGAAACGGGAATGATTTTTTTTAATTCCAAGATTTTCTGGAATCTATGACTAATTATCGGTGATTATCGATCGTTTTATGAATGAAATTTGGTGATAGATTCCCTAAAATTTCCAGGTGTTTTTCGAGTGAGACGCACCCAGAAAAGTAATTTATTTGAATCAAATAAATAAGTTTATCTAAATAGCACGAAATGAAGTTGTTATTAAAATTTCAATTTTTTCTTCATTTGGAGTTCCGTTTATATGAAATTAATGGGTTTTTATTATCAATAAACCTTTACTTGATGCTAATAAATTCTGTAAAATAATAGATAAAAAATTGTTTATATTAGGAAAATTCCTTCATTTGAATTGAATCCATTTTTTCTTTCAATTTAATAAAAATTTATTTGACTCGAAAAAATAGAAAGAAAGAGAAGAATGAGGCGACCATTACTAAAACATAATTTCAAATTTATTTTAGAAAACTTATGAAAACGTGATTTTCTTCAAACAAGAAAACTTTTCATTTGAAACTAATAGATTTTTAATTTGACATGAAAAATATTTTCACTGATACCTCAAGTCCTTTCATCTTTCAAAATTAAAACTGTCATGAAAACACAATTTTAGTTCCATTATTCCAGGAAAATTACTATTAGAAATCGGGAAAATTCGGTAAATCTATTTTTGAATTGTCAATGGATTAAAAATTCAAGTAGTTTGGGAAATCTTTCTCCTCCTGCTGCTCAAAATGGGAAATTTCCTTGAATTTCGAATGAAATCTTAAATCTCATGATTTTTTTTTCTGAATTGAATTCAATGTGACTCTCCTGAAAATTACCAGGCAACTTTCCAATAACGTGAAATCTTTTTAACGAAATCGTTGAATATCGAAATTTCACTGAAAATTGAATTTTCAGTGAAATAAAATTTTAAATAAACTTTTTTTAATTTGACATGAAAAAATTCTTTCTTTTGAAACAATTAAAAAAAATTCAAGTAAAGATTTTTGTTTGATTTGAATGAACTATTTTTCTGGGCGCGAACCGTTCAAAGTGAAGTCTCGTCGGGCTCGGGCCCAAATTTTCCCATTGCCTCCCGATCAGAACCCACCTGTCCCATCTCAAATATCGACGAAATAACTTGCAAATGAATCAAACATAATTGATGTTCTCCCCTTCGAGTTCTCAACAGTAACCAAAGCTTCACCCCCCTCACACTTCATCAGAACCTGATCGATGCTCTCAGCCCCTAACCCCCAATATTTCCCCCTATATTATTTCCCAGACTGTATTTCATCGCCGCCAATTTGTGTGTCCTCCTGACTCTACCAGGCCGCAGTACACCAACAAACACCACTCAAAAGAATCCTTACGCGGAAGAATGGGTGGTGCGAGTGGCGGGTGGGCCTCAAGTGGCCTCCCTGCTTGCCCTCCGATCCGGCTGCAGAAATCTCGGTCTCGTAAGTACAACTCTCATCCCCCCAATTACCAATCCCCAAGTCCTCCAGCTTATCCCATCCATCTCCATCTTCAACCAGCTGCTGAAATCTAATGTATTTGCCCGGGGAATTATGACTTTGTCAACAGAGTGTCTACGGTTTGTTGGAATATGGGCAAAAGTCGAGACCGGGAAAACTACCCCGATGCAATTAAAACTTGAACAACTGCTTAATAAGTCAGTCAGTTTTGTAGCGATTTCCCACCGAGTTGGGGTAAAATGAACTTCGAAATAACATTACCAACTTTTCCATGGCTTTTTAAATTATACAATAATCGTAATTCACCTGAATGACGACGTCTGATAAAGCGCCCCCTCCCGCCCCGAGAAGAATGGATTGGGAAGAAAAAATGGAGATGAAAGAGCCTCTCAAAAAGACGTGAAAAAAATGAATTGAACAATTCTCGCTGCATAAAAATACATTCAACTTTTATTATCGTCAACGTGAATTATTATCCCGTTTGCCCCAGCATCGTCACGCAGAGTGTGCTACGTAAAACCAGCGGTGGAGGGAGAGGGAAGAAGAAAAGGGAAAGATAATCCGATAAGAGTCAATATATTTTCAAGTGTTCGCCAAACACACCGGAAATAAGTGCGCATATGCCGTTGGATGAGTATCTGGATGACGTACGGTGTCGTGTATTCTGCATTCTATACAGTGAAAAAAAATATATATACCCACCTCTTCTAAGTTTCTGCCTTTATGTTTTTCATCCAACGAAATAAACAACTGTAACGTGGAACAAAAGAGAAAGAATTATATTGCAAGCAACGAAATGGGTTTTGTGGGGGGAAAAATTGCACAAAAACAGAAGCTGAGGAGAGAGAAATAACACAAAGTGCAGGATATGTTTTGCTGGTATCAAAGATCTTTTGGATCGCACTTTAATTTCAACGCAAAAATTCCAGTATTCAGTGACCGGAAGTAAGGAGGCACTTCCCGGTGAAACTTCCTTCAGTCGTTTCTCGATTCTACGGGGACATAAATTTTGAAGAATGAGAATTCTGGGAATTGGGGGGAAGCAGTGTCGAAAATATACGGAATGGTAAAAATAAAAGGGCGATATTTTAGGGGAGGATAAATTGTTGAATGCTTCCGGGAGGATTCGCAATAAATATATTCCAATTGTCGGTGAGAATGATAGTATTTGCAGGCTTGATTCGGAGATATATTCTACTGTAATTGCAGTCTTAGGACTACAATTTTTAACTTTTTGACAAAAATTTCCAGTTCACTTCGTCGAAATATTTATCAAGCTATAGTCTCGCTGAAATTTCAAGGAATTTTGTCACTGAAAATTCACAATTTGAGGGAAAAATCGGTAGAATTGGAACAGGGACTTTTCTGATTTTCAGAAACGAAAGAAGACCCCAAAAATTTATATAATTTAATAACCACAATTCAATAATTCTAAAAAAAAGAACAGGAGATAGCCATGACTGTGCCCTCCGTACACGGTTAAAGTTTTTCATCTAAAATTTCCGGTATACGTATTGGAATTTTTTATCACATTTTAGTTCCCCCGGAAGTTCAACTGATTTCGTGATTGGAAATTCTGAATTTCGGAAACATCAATGAAAACTGTAAAATTTTGTTCAATTATTCTATGAAAATCAAGAAAAATCGCTAGAATCCGGTAAATATAATATTGAATTTTGAATTAATCGAAAATTCAGAGTAATTTTGCGGTAAATATTCATGTTTCCATGAAAAATTTAAATAAATTGAGGAATTCTCCTCTTAATGTTGCTCAAAAGATTTTGAAATTTCATTGAATTTTCCCAAAAATATGAACTTTCCCGGTTTTATTGCTCCTAAATCGCAGTCATTGTTTGAAATTTCTTGAAATTGCAGCCACAGCGTCCTCTGAATTTCCGATGTTGTGAGGTTGAATCCATCTTCAAATGAAAGGGTTCACTAAATTTCCCACTCATCTTGAAAATTCAGGACAATTGGGTTCTTCATGTCAAACAAAATTGAACATCACATACAATTCAATTTTCAACAGATTCAGAATTCCAAAAAGTTATTGCCTGAATTTTCAAAATTTCCCAGCGTTTTCAGTGCCGGATGGACCTGAAAATCGCGAATCCCTTGAATATTCAATAAATTAACAGATTCGTCAATGCAGAAATGTACATAAATTCCATGTAACTTAGTCGTTGTTAAAAATTTGCCGTGTTCACTTGAAATTTCAAGAGTAATTTTCTCTCAGTGTTCTCCCACAAATTACCATCCGCTTGTCCCCGAAATTTCAATTTTTCCCTCCAATTGTTCCCCAAAAACTCCCAAATAGTTTGAAAGTGGATCAGATGAAACGTAGCCGCACCGGGACAACCGACAGTAGAACGTTAGAAATGTTGGCTCCGTCGTATGCGCTCAAGCCCCCCCCAGGGTATGTCCGAGTGAGCGACATTCGTACCAGCAGGAGGGCTCATGTACGCCGGCCAACACCATGTTGACTAATACAATTATGTCCGTAACGCTAACGTCCCGCCCTTCAACAGTCATCCGACGAGCGTGAGTCTCGCTCCAATCAACCTCTTAATCTTTTCCCTGTGTTTCCCTCCAGTCTCTCGTCCATGAATTTACATTTTATTTCGTTTCAATTCATTGAACCTCCATCCATCAGTTGAAATGAACAAAACACATAATCTCAACGCTCCTTATCCGGCTGAACGTCTTCCTCGGTTGTAATAAAACGGCGACGACGGGCTCTCGAGAAGGAGGAAAAAACGTAATTAGCGTCATTCCGGAGGAGAGAGGAAAGACGGAGAGGGAGATGAGCACATCAGGCGTTTCACTGGGAGACTGACGAGGCCCGCGAGGGGCGTCCTGGGATTACCCCCAGAGACAGTTGGAAATCCGATCAAAACAAATGGACTGCGAAAATACCCCGATTCTACCTCTACGGCGTTTTCCATACCTCCTACCTCTTTTTTTAATCCGACTGATCACATATACATACAAAATGTTCACCTCATTCCAGGCTATTCCCTCTGGACCTGCCAGCCCCGGCAAGACACAATCGGAATACCGATAAGATGAATCGCTCGCTGATCGCCAAGCAATGACTTTGCGCGACAGAGAAAACGATCACTTCACGGAATTTTTCTTTTTCGTCATCCTTCGCTGGGCTTTTTATGCTTCAGTTTCGGTCGGCGCTGCGGGGTGGGGAATCGGGGCGGAACGACTTGGTTTCAATGGTTTTTGGTGGGTGAAGGAATTTTCTGGGGAAAAAATTCTTTTCGGAGTTTGCGGGGAGGATTGAGAAAAAATTTGTTGATTGAAGTGCAGTGTTAAAAATTTTTGTTTGAATTTTCCGTGCCAAATTCCGGAAATTTTAATCGTGTTCAAGTTCCACTGAAATTTCAGGAAATCTTGTCATTGAAAAATCAAATATTTCATTGATTTTTTGTTCAAATGATCTGAAAATCAATAAAATACTTGATTTTGCAGTTCAATTATTCTGTGAAAATTCAGAAAATTCAGGGAAAAATTGAAAATTCATGTCATTCTGTTTCTGAATATTCAAGATCCATTGAAAATTCAATCAAGTTGTGCAATTTCCATCTCACTCCCACTGAAAACTCATGAATTAATTGGTGAGCGAATTGTGATTTCCGTAATTTTTTACTGAACATTTCTCTCCGTGTATAATTGTGAATATCAGGAGCAAGAAGGAGGTATTCCCCCCAACTTGAACGAACTGAACCTCGACCAAAGTACATCCATCTCCCTTCCTCCAACAGTCATCAAACCACGCACGAGACATCAACCAGGTGGTCGTCCCTACCACCGAGGGCGTTTCCATAATGTGTCAGGAGGCCCTACAAAAACCACACGGGCCACGTGGTGCCTGCAACCGCTCACTCATTCATGATACAATAATAATGTCACCCCATTGAACTAGAATGTGACTTTTCGGGTGGGTTCATATATATCCTGGGTAGGAAATAAACGTGCCACCAGCTGGCTCCTCGTGTTTTCCTGGTCGTAGCATCCCCCTCTTGGGAATCGAGTGCGAGAGCGTCGGGACGCCCCCAACGGTAAAGCCAACCCCTAGCATTGAGGGTGCGATGTTGGGGGAAAATTGGAGTGGGAACTTTCAGAGTCCGCGAGACCCTTTGTGCACTAGTAACACCTGAATTCGTGATCTTTTCCAGGTGCTGGGGTTCAAAGACACCTACTTATGGCACAGGGATGATAATCAGGTCAGGAAGAGGGGCGGAATGAGGTTCGTCAAAGCACTGACATCGAACTCAAAGGTGAACCATCATGGAAGTGGCATAATTTCAAAGAAAGCTCTTTTCTATTCAAGAGACCGAAAATCCTCAAGTTCAGAATCAATATTCTTCATTAGCGGTGTCAATTTACTCGATCTGGTTACCCTAAGTAGATCGATAGGTAGACACCGACCAAAAGATAGACAATTTAAACTTTTTTTTAGTATTCTATAGAAAATATAATAGAAATTGTATTACGAATACCTCAGAAAATGTTTCAGGCGTTTTGCATTGTAACGGGTATATATCACAAAAATCCAAAACATAATTTTGAACAATTACAAATCTTCCATTCGGAAGCAAAAAAATCTAAAAACCAAAAATTTGTGCAATTTCTTAATTTTGGAAACATTCCAGGTGGACATTCCTAATAATGTACTTATAATCAACTTCTCCACAATTTCCAATTCGTTTGCTTCTCTACAGATCATCTGGGCAGATCAGCAGAGAATTTTCCAACGCCACAAGCGGGATCTCATTGATCTCACCTTGGAATCGGAAAAGCCTCTGCTGCGGGAGAAACGACTGTTCGATGATGAGGAAAATTACGTCGATAAACAGTCAGATGGTCAATGCATGTTCAATGACGAATTGTGGAACGAGGAGTGGTATCTGGTAAATATGTATTTTGAAGATTAATAGCAAAGTGATAGGACATTAATCGCCTCTTATATTTCCAGCATAAAATCAATTCTTCAATAAACACATTCTGGATATGGTTAAGTCATTGAACATGAATTATTCATGAATGTTTATGAGAAAAGTTGTTCATTCTCAATGATAGTAATTATATAATTTATAATCCTGTGATTCATCTCTTGACAATTTTTATCAAGTGGCAGATCTATTGAAATTTCAAGGAATTTCGTCATTTAAAATTTATAATTTGATGGAAAAATTGATAGAAATTGAATTTCAGTTTAATTATTCCATCAAAAACTTGTAGAAATCAGAAAATTTCTGGAAATTACATTCATGAATTTTCACGTATTAAAAAAATTGTATATTTTGGCACCGAACAAGAAATTTGAAGAATTTTCGTTTTTGTACCGTTTAAAAAATTTTTATTCCTTGATTTTTTACCCTACGCTGTTAGAAATTTTTTGAAATTTCATAGAAGATACTATTATAAATCTCATAAGAGCGACATTGGAAGGAGATTGAGAGAAAAATGGTTATGAAATTTCGAGTTTTAAGTAGAATTCACGGAAATTCATGAATTTCCAGGGGGAGTGAGATGGAAATTCCACAGTTTGATTGAATTTTCCATGGAACATGAATATTCAGAAACAAAACGATATGAATTGTCAATGTTTCCCTCAATTTTCCTCATTTTTCTGAATTTCCACAGAACAATTGAACTGAAAAATCAAGTATTTTATTGGAATCAATGGAATATTTGATTTTTCCATGACCTTTCCTGAAATTTCAGTGGAAATCGAACACCATAAAAACTTGCGAAATTTGGCACGGAAAATTTAGACGAAAATTTTTAACAGTGTACAGCTGCCATCGAATGTCCCCATCCCAATTAAAACAAAACGGTCCATGAAATTTCAATGTTTTTATTCCTCCCGTCCTGTTCAACCCTACGATTCGTTACCTAGTTAAAAACTGTCATCAACAATTCATGGCCCATTCAATCAGTATCCACCAATTTATAAAATGCCAGTGACCTCTACTCGGAATGTCCCCAAACCTAGCAAGACACCCGTAGCAACAGGAACCTACCGAAGCTGGATCTCAACGTGGTGCCACTTTACCGGTTGGGGATAACAGGCCGTGGGGTCAAGGTAGCAGTTCTCGACGATGGGCTAGAGTACACCCACGAGGATCTGCGAAACAACTACGTGAGACCCCTTTCATGATGACAAACCGACAGACGACAACTGTCAGCCCCCAATATCGATGAAATTTTCGTATTTACGATTTCAGAGTCCCGACATCAGCTATGACGTCAACGAGGGAGATAACGATCCGATTCCCCGATACGAAGTAACAGGTGACGAGACTTTATCTCTGAAAACTGAATGTCCCGATGAAGGGTTTAAAGCAGATTAAATAGCTCAAGCGAGTGTGAAATGATCAATAATTTCTCTTCAATGAATCAATTCCCAAAGGGATGAATGGCCACGGGACAAGATGCGCAGGGGAAATAGCAATGGAGGCGAATAATCGAAAGTGCGGAGTTGGAGTGGCATTCGAGGCATCTATTGGTGGGATAAAACTGCTCGATGGCATTGTCAATGATAGAGTCGAGGGTGAGGCACTTGGATACAGGCACGATCTCATCGACATCTACACGGCCTCATGGGGTCCCGCCGATGATGGCAAGAGCCTCGAGGGCCCCGGAAGACTAGCCACCGAGGCACTTGAGCGAGGTGCCACTGAGGTATGAAATTCCCAGCTTTATTCTGCATCTCTCATCCCTCATCCTCTATTTATTCATGATGATATTGAAGTCGTGGAGAAGTGGCTGGAGTTTGGGACGAGAGGGGAGAATTTTGTTGCGAAAGGGGCGGAAGAAGTTAGTTGAGTGTCGAGAGCGGATGCATATGGCGAATGCGCGCCATCCGGGACAGCTTGGCAGGAAAGAATTTTAGCATTGCATGAGGTTTTCCGGTTTTCATTGATTCGACTCTTGTGGCCCTTATATGGCCTTTGTAGGACCTCCATGATGCGTAAAACCCCTATATGACCTTCGTAAGACCACCTAATGATACCCCAAAACCTCCATATGACCTTCATATATGAAAAAAAAACAATTATAAACAACTATGGAAAAGGTCAATTTTAATTTTGGTGCGACTCTTATGGCCCTTATATGACCTTTATAACGCATAACCTCCATAACCCATGAGACCCCTATATGACCTTCATATGAGGAATTTTTAATTTCTTGGAACATTTGTTCCATTAGTCCGAACCATTTCGATTAATACGGATGTCACTGACATCATCATTCATTTCTATGAATATATTGAACCAGGGATGTAATTTTTTTCATAGCTGATAGAAGATTTGGAAAACATTGAATGGACCAAGAGATTTATTTAACTTGAATTGTCATCAATTTTATTTGAAACCACCAGATATCATATGTTACGCGTAAATTATATTTATGAAACCGTAAATTACTCGTGGCAACACGTAATTTATGTTTAGGTTTTTCTCCGCGTGTTCAATCAAACAACAATAGTTTTGGAGAAAGGGTCAATTTTAATTTTGAGCGCAGGGTCGCAGCGGCAGAGGTAATATCTACGTATGGGCGTCCGGAAACGGTGGCTCTAAGCAAGACGACTGTGGCTGCGACGGTTACGTCGGTAGCATATATACAATAGCCGTTGGCTCAGCCAGTCAAACTGGAAAGTTTCCATGGTACGGTGAGAGATGTCCTGCAACTCTTGTAACTACTTACAGCAGCGGAGCGTACCACGACCAAATGATTGTAATTATTCACTGAGATTTATTATTTAAAAACTTGAACAAATTGCATGGGGCTTGTTTAGTTTCTTTTGTTGGCGGTTCGGAGGGGGACGTTTGTTCTCATTCGTGTTCGTGCAGACTCGATTTTTGTTTCTCTGTTTTACCGGACAGGCTACGACGGATTTAAAAAATGAATGCACCACTCGTCACACGGGAACGTCAGCCTCAGCTCCACTCGCTGCGGGAATACTCGCTCTGGCGCTGCAAGTGAAGTAATATAATCTAGTTCTACAACGTACTCCGAAATTGGTCATTTTTTAATTTTTTTTTCTCGCTGTAGGGAAAGAGATTTTTTGTTAATTACGGTTTTATCCTCGTTTGCGATGGACTTTCAGCGAATTTAATATCTAGTGAATTTTTTGTTCAGTTTAAGTTGAGAAGATTGGATAATTATTCATGGAATTAATTGACGTTTCCATGAGATATTTTTTGATTGGAGATAATTGTGGGAATATCTGGGTCTTTCGCTCCATCCACTAACAAGCATAGTTGATTCTATTGCATACAACGTTGAAAATTTTTGTTTGCCCGGATTGTAGAGGTTCTTTGTTGATTTTCATTTTACGTCCATTTGTGATGAATTTTGAGTAAATTGAATATTTTTTTCTTCATCTTTCTTCAGTTCGGGTTGAGAGGGCTCGAAAAATTCTTCTTGAGATTGTTGTATAATTTTATAAGACACAGTTGACACTATTTTGTCACCATAAATTATTTTTATTCCCTCATTTTCTTCAGACTTAACCATTTTTCGTTAATGTTAATTTTCGCTTCACGTTTCCTTATAAAGTTCCGGTAAATTTAATGTTCAATTCATTTTTCTTCTTTCATCTCATTGAGCTTCAAAAATTCTTTATGAAATTATTAAGTGTTTTAATGGGACATATTTTTTACACTGTTAGTCATTTTTATTTCCTTATTTTCTTGAAAATCATGAGAACCATTTTTTATTATTGTCAATTTTAGTTTGACGTTCGCTTATAACGACCACGCGAATATAATTCTCTTTTCTTTTAATTTTGTTGAGAGAGATTAATAAATTCTTGATGAGAATATGAAATGTTCTTGTGAGATGTATTTCCATCGAGCTAGAGGTAATTACGGAACTATTTGTTTCATCCAATAACAAGCAAAGAGTTGACTTGGAGAGACGTGCAGCATCTCATTGTGCAGACCTCGGAGTACAGTCCATTGAGGTAAGAGTTCTTCATAATAATCTTTCTCTGTCTCCCCTAGGAATTAATAATTCAAAATCAACCTCTTGGGTCGAAGACTTCCGGCATGTTTTGCATTCTTTATGACGGTTAGCCTTCGCGTTTGAAATTTTTTTCGACTCTTAGGTACAAAGAAAATTAATGAAAATTTTTTCACCAACTCAGGCATTGCCTGCCTCGAGGCCCCGCAGTTCCTTTCGCCTTATTGTTAAACCCCTTCTCTCGCGAGCTCATTACACACCTTATCGAAGGATCCTTTTGTGCACAAAGTTTCACCCCATGTCGTTTCCTCCACCTTCACTAATTACGGAAGTCTAGTGCTTTAAGTTCAGTGGGATTAAGTTATCTTTTTATCTCGTGTCGAGAAGTATAATTGAATACTATCTGATAAGGGAAATGTGGAGTCAACTCTTTTTGGGAGTTCACTTCGCCCTCAGCCCTGAGTCAATTTCTAGTACAGAGTAGATTTTTATTCTTAACACCAAAGTATGTTGATTGGCATGTTCATGTTGACACTATGGCAGTGTCAATTATTACTCCATTCATTATTTAACTTCGGTATTAATATATTCCGTGCATCCGCACCAAAAACGGTGGGACGTCACGTATGAAAAAACTATATAGAAAATTTCTATACGGATTACGTGTAGAATTTCTATAGGATTTTCGTATGTGATATTCGGATATTTCTCTACGTTTTTCTCTGAAGCGTTTAGACATCTTTCGTATGAAAACAAAAATTTATGTAACAATTCGTATAGAAATATCCGAGTATCATATACGGAAATCCTATAGAATTTGTATACGCAATTAGTATAGAAAATTTCTAAACGATTTTTGCATATGTGTTGTTTTCACTCTTTTTGGTGTGGACTCTGACTCGAAATTCACTCTGAATTTTTTACCGTGTGGAGATGGAATATTGGGGTTGTGAAATCTTTAGGTGGTGGAGGATGGGACAAAATTGACCTTTTGAAATCTTCAATATATTTAATATGACAAGGTCCTCCTGTGAGTCGAATTGTTCTAAAATTCTGTTTAGAATTTCGGGGAGAACGTCATGGAGAATTATCAATGAATAGGAGAACATTTTTCGTTATGGTAAATTGCTTACTACACAATGCAAAAAATGTAATTTAAAAGATGTGTCAAACTCCGTCGGAAAATTCCTCGTGCTGAGCACTCAGGATTTTAAAACTGGGAAAAATCAAAACACGTGGGAAATTGCTCTTGTATTGAATATAGTATAGTGATAGCTAATAAATTAGCCATATGCTTCCGAATGGCTATTTTGCACATCATTTCCTTCTATCATGTATAATTCATTGTTTATTTCATTTTATTAAATTGAATAAGATTTCTTTTTAACTAATTTTGTCAAATTTTCAACTTAGTTGAATGTTATCCTCATCATTATTCTTACTATCCTTTTCTTCTATACAAGCAATTGTCTTTTATACAGTTCTAGCTCTCTCCTCAGCCCTTCCATAAAATGATAATAGAAAAATATTATTTATACATAATTGAATGAATTTGAAACATCACATTTGAAGAAACCATCAGAAAGCTCACTTTCAGGGAAATTCATGAAAACTTAGAAATTTTCAAGAAATTAAAACAACGATTATTGCTATCGTCTTCATCTTCGATTCGGTCGAAAGGACATCCAAACAAATTTTTTAAGCCATCATTCAATCAATCTAGAAAATGTTTTTTGGTTAACGTGAAAAGATCAATTTTTTAAAAATTTAAAAAATGTTAAAAAAGCATATTTGAATTAAATTTAAATTAATGGTGATTGATAGGGCTCAACAATGCCTACAGTTGAGAAAAAAAAAGATTCAATTCCATCGCGTCATTAGTGCACAATCGAAGAAAAATTTGTTTACATATGCACACGGTCTAAAAATTGTAGTTTCGGACTTTTTGGATCACAATGGGTCGATATAACCCGAAAAATCCAAACCTTAAATTGGAACGATTGCAATGTTTCCATTCGGATGTAAAATAATTCTAATTACTGGAAACAGTAGACGATGAAAAACAAAAGTGAAAAAAAATTACAGCGGAAACCCGGGCTGGCGAAAAAATTCCGCGGGCTTCTGGTTCAATCCTCGCTTCGGCTTTGGCCTGATGAATGCACACGGTCTGGTCATTGCCGCTTATAATTGGACCCGAGTACCCGAAAAAACTGTATGCTCCATCAAATCGCAGTCGGGGTGAGTGAAAACGAATTAAAAAGTCACTGAAAAGTGCACGGAATTGAAGTGAATACCTAACTGCGAGGATTTTTAAACTTTCGACCCAGATCCCGGAATTTATCGCACGGTAGACCGGTGAGTTTGATGTTCAGTGTGGATGGTTGCTCCAATGAGGGCCAGGAAGTTGCGTATCTGGAGCATGTACAAGTTGAAACGAGCATCAGGTACACGAACAGGGGCGCCCTGGAGATGCAGCTGACCTCGCCCACCGGTGAGCAATGGCTTTTCAGGTTTATGAGGGGTTTTAGAGATTATGTTCAATTTGTATTCGGTGTGTATCCACCGGGGGTAGACGAAGAAGCAAATGTATGGAGATTGTAGCAAAAAAATGAATAAGTAGTTGCAGGTGGCTGGCGGGTTTCTCAGAAAGTCTGCAAATACCCGAGAAAATCCGAGATTTTGTTTTGGAAAATTCCACAATTTTTCGGAAAACTTCGCATTTTTTTCCGTGATTTCTCCTATGAAATTATGAATTTTCAATGACAAAATTCCTTGAAATTGGAAATGTTACTGGTTATAAATGTTCAAGACTCGTACCGGAAATTTCAATGAAAATTTTTTAACAGTGTAGAAAAAAAATAAATAGTGCGTCATAAAAATGAATATAGTGCCTTCGAATAATCATTGATAAAGCTCCAAAAGAATTCTAATACCGTCGAGCGTGAGTGTAAGTTGTAATCTGAAATCCTACTGCGTTTCACGACTAGCCTGGTTATGGAAGTTTAATTGATGAATAAATTCTCGGTCATCATTGATTAAGATGGAGGGAACCTGATAAAATCCACATAATGCAAATAATTTTTCCCCGCGTGTTTGGGGTTCGTAGGAACAAGGGTGAATATACTGACTCCCAGGCGCCTGGATGATTCGACTGAGGGCTTCAAAAATTGGAAATTCATGTCCGTGGGCACTTGGGGAGAGGACCCACGGGGCGTATGGCGACTGGAAATAATCGATCGAGTCAGTACCACTCACCTTCTCCCAAAAAATACTAAAATTACTAACTTGACGTTAAAATTGGAAATGAATATTTCTTTTTGTGATGCACGAATCAATAGTTTCTTAGAAGGCCGTGACTATACGCACCATTGCGTGAATCACTCCCGTACACTCCATACACTCCACGCATGCGTGAAGTTTGTGTGTTTCACGCAGCCGAATTTTCATACTGCTGTGTATTTCACGCAGTTGAAGTTTCATACTACTGTGTGTTTCACGCAGTTGAAGTTT